TATGAGTGACTTCACGTGTAAAATTAAGTGACTACACACGTAAAAGTTTTTCAGTGGGGAAAGTTTCAGCTGACTTGAAACCTAAACCAAAAATGTTACAAACCTATTAATAAGACACATTAATTCATTTACTCACCTGGCACTTAGTATTTAATGCCATTTTCTCTTTTCTTTTCTTTTTTTTTTTTTTTTTTGTCAGTTGCGGGGGCCTGTCCCCCAGCTCTTCAGCTGTAGACCAGCGCTCTACCACTTGAGCCTCAGCTGCACTCCTGGTGGGGCTGAAAAGGTTGTGTTCTTTCTTCCTGATTTCTCGACCTTCTGAATTAGCCTTGTGTTTCCTCTGGGGATTTAAGTTGAAAATACCTTGGTTTCACCAGCTTTTCTTTTCATTGTATCTGCAAGTAAAGTTTTTAGTATTAGGGGAATAATCTGGAAATCAAGTCCAGAAGAAAGGCAGGGAGGTATGTTTGCTTGCAGTAACTGGTTCAAGTATAATGGATTATGCTGCTTATGTGGTGCTGAATCGAACCCAGGGCCTCATGCATGCAAGGCAAGCACTCTACCACTGAGCCACCTTCCCAGCGCCTCATTTTCTCTTTTCATAGGGAAGCTGGGCTAGCTACTCAGGAGGCTGAGATATGAGGATCACAGTTCGAAGCCAGCTGGGCAGGAAAGTCTGTTAGACTTACCTCCAACAAACTCAGAAAAGGCCAGCAGTGGAGCTGTGGCTCAAGTGGTAGAGCACTAGCCTTGAGCAAAAGAAGCTCAGGCCCTGAGTTCAAACTCTATCTTAGGATGGTAGTTCGAAACCAGAGGGCGGGCAAATCTAGGAGACTCTTATTTCCAGTTAGCCAGCAAAAACTGGACGTGGAGGTGTGGCTTAAAGGGTAATAAGCCTTCGGTGAAAAAAGCCAAGCTAGAGTGTGAGGCCTGAGTTCAAGCCCCCTACACAGCACACACACACACACCAAAACCCAAAACAAATCAAACAAAAAAAAAAACAACCCACTAAAACAAAACTGAAGCCTGGAGTGGAAAGAAAGAATGTGTTTGGTCCCTTCCCCCACCTCCAGAAACTAGTTCTGGAATGACTGCCTTCTATTCCTGTTAGCTTTTCCAATTCTTATTCAACCGTTTTTACATTTTTAAAAAAGTCCCTGAAAGACCCAGAAAAGGTTGTGTTCTTTCTTCCTGATTTCTCGACCTTCTGAATTAGCCTTGTGTTTCCTCTGGGGATTTAAGTTGAAAATACCTTGGTTTCACCAGCTTTTCTTTTCATTGTATCTGCAAATAAAGTTTTTAGTATTAGGGGAATAATCTGGAAATCAAGTCCAGAAGAAAGGCAGGGAGGTATGTTTGCTTGCAGTTACTGGTTCAAGTATAATGGATTAAATCATGTCTGTTTCTGTGTACTGTAAGCTTCATCATTTATTATACCAATCATCTGATTGATTTTTTTAACTTTGGTAATGTTAGTACACACTGAATTGAGGAACTTTTCCTCCCTCCCCTACCATCCCCATTCCTGCGTTTAACTCGGCCTAGTTGCTGTCCTGTAAGCTTCCCCCCCCCCTTAATGCTGGTGCTGTACCACTTGAGCCACAGCTCCACTTCTAGTTCTTTGCTGTTTAATTGGAGGTAAGAGCCTCACTGATTTATCCCTGGCTGACTTTTAGACTGTTTTCCTCAGATCTCTGCCTCCGAGTAGCAAGGACCCCACTTGTAAGCTACCAGTGCACCCCACTTGAAGTAACTCATCTTGATACTAACTTCTCTAGATTTGGGACTAATTCTTCCTCCCCACCTCCCTCTTGAAAAAGCACAAACTAGTTTCTACCAGTCATGAAAATAGATGGCCATTTCATTCATTTTTTTCTCCATAGTAATTCATTTGGTATGCATTTCCAGATATAATTTATGTTGTCCCTTGAGCTTTTTTGTTCAGGGCTAGCTAGCATTCTACCACTTGAACCACAGCTTCCCTTCTGGCATTTTGGTGGTGAAGTGGCGATGAGTGTCATGGACTTTCCTGTCTGGGCTGTCTTCAAGCTGTGATCCTCCAATCTCAGCCTCCTGAGTAGCTAGAATTACATGTGTGAGTCATGGAGCCTGGCTACATCAGGACAGCTTTTGTTTTTCTACAAAAATCCATAGACCAAATGTTAAAAAATAACCTCTTTCAGATCATCTTGTGCTTTTCTCTTTATTGTGGGCACTGTTTCCCATTCATGCCTTTCAGATTCATCTTGGCTATCCCAGTTCTTTTTCCATCGTTAGCAGATTCCACCTGTTTCTGTGGACTGTGTAGACAACACCTGGCTGTAACCTAAGACTTACTTCCTGTAACAGGTTAGTAACCCCTGCAACGGCTATTGAAATAACCTAGGAGACAATACAGTAAATAAATAAGTGAAATCTTTTTAGATCAGTGTTCTAAGAAAGGGTTGGGAAAATATTGCAAGATAATTTAGTTTTGCAGGCTGAGAGAATAGAGAGGTGGTAGTCTCCAGACAAATACCAGCCAAAGGACCTTATTAAGGTGGCAACAAAGGTGGTTTTAGCGTTTCTTGGGCAGCCTGGAAATAGCCTTTTGTTCTTTGTTAAGGAGTTTAGTTATTCTCCTGAAGCTAGACTTGATAACTTCATAGAGAGAAAAGGAAGAGAGTAATTGATTTCCACACTTATTTTTTATTTTTTTTTAAATTTTTTTTATTTTTTTATTATTTTTTTTGTCGGTCATGGGCCTTGAACTCTGGGCCTGGGTGGGCGCTGTCCCTCAGCTCTTCAGCTCAAGGCGAGTGCTCTACCACTTGAGCTACAGCGCCACTTCCGGTTTTCTGGTGGTTTATTGGAGATAGGAGTCTCACGGTCTCTCCTGCCCGGGCTGGCTTTGAACCGCGATCCTCAGATCTCAGCCTCCTGAGTAGCTAGGATTACAGGCGTGAGCCACCAGCGCCCGGCTAAATTTTAAATTTTTTTTGTTTGTTTTTTGTTTTTTTGCTAGTCATGGTACCTGAACTCTGGGCCTGGGCACTGTCCCTCACCTCTCCAGCTCAAGGCTAGTGCTCTACCACTTGAGCCACAGCACCACTTCCAGCATTTTCTGCTTATATGGTGCTGAGGAATTGAACCCAGGGCCTCATGCATGCAAGGCAAGCACTCTACCACTGAGCCACCTTCCCAGCCCCTTATTTTTTATTTTTTAAAGTTGAATTCTAAAGGTGTGATGTTCAGGGGGGTTCCAGTTACATAAGTCAGGTAAAGAGTGCATTTCTTTTTGTACAATGTCTCCCCTTCTTTGGCTCTCCCAGTTTTTGTCTTCCTATTCCCATCCTTAAGTTGTATAGTTCATAAATAATTTTTGTGCTGATACTAGGGTCAAACGAAGGGCCTTGTGCTTTGGCTTGGCTTAATTCCCTTGAGGTTGTTGCTCTACCACTTGAGCCACAGTTCCACTTCTGGCTTTTTTCTGGTTAATTGGAGATTAAGAATCTCAAGGATTTTCCTGCCTGACATTTCAAATCATGATCCTCAGATCTCAGGCTCTTGAGTAGCTAGGACTATAGGCATGAGCCACTGGTGCCTGGCCGTATCTATTTAAGGCAAAAAGGACAAGTTGGATCAAGAGCTGTATGCTGAGAAGTATTAAGGGTATTAGCAACTTTGGCAAACTAACTGCCCAAACAGAAGGCAAAATTATAAATTGAAAAATACTTCCAGCTGGGCACTGGTGGCTCATACCTGTAATTTTGCCTATCTTTGAGCACAAAAGCTCAGGAACAGCGCCAGGCCTTGAGCTCAAATCCCAATACTGGCGCGCGCATGTGCGTGCATGAGTGTGTGTGTGTGTGTGTACATGCATGCACACGCACGCGCACACACGGTATCAGAGCTGACTACTAGCCATGTGCTAGTATTTCACAGATTTTCAAAAGTTAAGATTTATCCCTATTTTAGAGATGATAAAGGAGGCAGGGGGTGAGACACATTAAGTCTATTTCTTGAAGTTTGAGTCAGATCAGATCTGTGTGCCATCAATACCCCCTTCTTAACATTGTCACCTTGGAAATGGAAAAAGCCCAAGAGGCGTGCAAAGCCTGGAGTGCAAACTCCAGTAAAGGCAGGAAAAGAAGAGACAATACACAGTGGTATTTTCATGTACTTCAGAAGAGAAGTGAGATTTCATCTCAATGTTTCCCAAGGGGCAAATGAAATTAAAAGGGACTTCTTATTTCTAATACAGAAGCAGAAGTGGAGTTCTTGCCCTTCACTGACAATTTGCATTTTGTACTGCTCATTATTCCTGCCTTTTACAAGAAAATTCATAAATCCAACTTTCTCACTCCCTGGAATCACTCTTGAACTCAAGGCCTCATGCTCTCACTTGCCTTTTTCACTCAAGGCTGGCTGTACTACTTGAACCACACCTCTATCTCCTGCTTTTTTGCTGGTTCATTGGAGGTAGGAGTCTGAGACTTTTCTGCCCCAAGTGATTTCAAACAGCCAACCTTAGATCTCAGCCTCCGGAGTACCTAAGGTTGTAGGCTGGGATTTATTTATTTTTTGTGCCAGTTCTGGGACTTGAACTCAGGGCCTGGGTACTGACTGCCCTATCTATTGCTCTTACTAGTTGAGCCACAGTTCCACTAACCGCTTTTTGGTTGATTTTTCCTGTCCAGGCTGGCTTTTCTAACGTGGATCCTCAGATCTCAGCCTAGCCTCCTAAGTAGCTAGCATTACTGGTGTGAGCCACTGGGGGGTGGGGGTGTATTTATATTCAGAACTTTGAATGCTGGGAAGTAGGCAGATAGTTAGAAGCAGATGAAAACAAACATTAATGTTTTATTACTCATGGCTCTTTGTAAGTGCTGATAAAATAGTCTCATTATTGGGAAATAATTGCAAGCAAGTGACATAGCAGCAGAAAAACACGAAACACTCAATTCTATTGATCCTTTATGAAGAATGTTGAAAAGTGTTGCTCTAGTTACAAGGCTGGTATGGACCAGAATCCTGTACCTTACCTACAAAGGTGACTAAAGAGTATGTGATTGACTAAAATGATCAATCAGGGATTCCCACAGCATGTGATCACGTGTGTTTTTTATTTCTTCCTTTTCCCATTCTGTCATTTCAAGGTCTTTTCTAATCTGGGTGCTAGTCATAGTCACACTTTTCATCCTAGCTACTCAGGAGGCTGAGATCTGAGAATCAAGATTTGAAGTCAGCTTGGGCAGAAAATTCTATGAGATTCTTACCTCTAATTAAGAACCAAAAAGCTGGAAGTGGAGCTGTGCCTTTAAAGACAAGTGTTTGCGTTCTGAGTTCAAGTGCCAGTACTGGCAATAAATAAGTCACAAAATAGGGGGCAAGGTTCGTTTCACCTGGTTCCATATTAAAAAGTATTAAAAGCTAACAGCTACTATGTGTGTATACACATATATATACATGTATATATACACAAAATACATCTGTACATACTCAGGATTGGTTCTATTTCCTAGTTGGAGCTTAAGCTCCAACTAGGAAATAGATAATATAATATATATAATAGATTTATAATAATCAACTTTAAACTTCAAGATCATCAAAAAGCATTTTTTGTTGTTTTGGTTAGTTGGTTGGTTCAACTGGGTTTCACTGTGTTTACCAGATTTCCCTCCCACCCCCACCCTCAGGGGATTACAGGCTTGCCATGCCACAGCTGGTTAGAAAAAATTCTGTAATGTTCCTTTGGTTCTTTCTCATTTATGTTATGCAAAGTAAACTGAGGTGTATTGAATTAAATGTAGAGTGATAATGTCAGGCTGGGAAGGTGGCTCAGTGGTAGAGCGCTTGCCTTGCATGCATGAGGCCCTGGGTTCGATTCCTCAGCACCACATAAGCAAAAAGAAAAAAGCCGG